GAGGGCCGGGCGCCTTCCCCCGCCGCCCGCCCTCCCTCACTCCCGGCCCCTCTGCCCTCCTCTCCCGCAGGGACGAAAAGCTCCGCCGCCGCCGCCGCCTCCTCCTTCTCCTCCTTCTTCCACAGCAGCGCCGCGGGCCGCGCCAAGGAGGACTATTACCAGGTGCTGGGGGTGCCCCGCACCGCCACCCAGAAGGAGATCAAGAAGGCCTACTACCAGGCACGTCCGACCGCGGGGCTGCCGGGGCCGGGGACCCGCCGCCTCTCGTGTACGTCTGTCACCTTAAGTGTCCTTCCAGAAGGCCCTGGGGTCGGTGGGAGGTTCAGGAGCAGCTCGTGTAGTTCCTTATGTTGGGATGATAACGGAAAACGTTCCCTAAATTACAGATAGTGAATGCCCAGCTCTGCCCAATGCCTTTTTCCTGGGGTGTGAGCCATGCTAAAGTAAATCACCCCTCCCTGCCTCTAATGGTTTGATTTTTATTGCTTAGCTGGTGGGATGATAACGGAAAACGTTCCCTAAATTGCAGATAGTGGATGCCAAGCCCTGCCCAATGCCTTTTTCCTGGGGTGTGAGCCATGCTAAAGTAAATCACCCCTCCCTGCCTCTAATGGTTTGATTTTTGTTGTTTAGCTGGCAAAGAAGTACCACCCTGACACAAATAAGGATGACCCTAAAGCCAAAGAAAAGTTCTCTCAGCTGGCAGAAGCCTACGAGGTAATAAGCAGGATTTTACCGTGATGAAAAATATGGGAGGGTAGATGTGGGGGAGACATTTATTGTGTGCGTTTCCTGAGAAACCATGGCTATTTTTTGATGCCATGTACTTCAGGCTTGAGTGCCTCTGTCCCAGCAGTGTCTTCAGGAAATTGCTTTGCCCAAGCATCTGATTTAGGGGGGTGTCTTTTGGGCTCTCTCAGTTTGTGCATATTCTTAGGAATGAGTGACTGGCAGGGATGCTGTGGTCACTGCTGTGGAATTGCTGGTAAATAAATAAACAAGCCAATCTGTGGGCAGTACAAGCTGTTTGAGGCAGAGGTGCCTGCCCCTGGGCACCCCCAGCCCCGTTTCTTCCTGCTCTTCAGCTTGTTCAGAAACCTTCTTGTGCTGGTTTTTGCTCTTGTGGCTTTTCAAATTTACTCCAGCACTCTGAGTAAGTCAGAGTCACTTTCATCAGCTTTCCCCTGATATATTAATGCTTGAATATATAATGTAAGTTATTCTTCTTATGAATTAGTAAGATCTTGTTGTTTTCCTGATGACAAGCTGAGACATACCCAGGAATGAGCGGCTTTTCAGTAATTTGTGTGCTGCTGAGAGCTGGGATCACCCTCCTCATGACAAGAAGGTTTGAGAACGTGGGCTTGTGGCAGTAACGCCAGTAGCCTTGAGTTCTCCGGAGAGAGGCCGCTCTGCAGACGGGCTGTTTGCCAGTGGCTTGGGATCTGTAGAGCATCCTGACGATCACTTTTTGTCGTTCTTTTGCCTGAAAGGTACTGAGCGATGAAGTGAAGCGGAAGCAGTACGATGCCTACGGCACGGCTAGTTTTGACCCCGGCGCGGCCGGAGCGGGCGCTGGGCGGCAGTACTGGAGCAGCGGCCCGTCCATTGATCCGGAAGAGCTTTTCAGAAAAATCTTCGGAGAGTTTTCGGGATCCCCTTTTGGCGATTTTCAGAATGTCTTTGACCAGCCGCAGGAGGTATGAAGGGCGTTTTAGCTTCTGAGTCATGAAAGTGAGAAATTAAAATACTCGAAAGCTGGGGAGGGATTGTCTGTTGCAGATTGCTCTGGGAGGGAGCTTAAGCAGAGAATTTGCTTCTGGTGAGCGTCCCATGGTATGGATATCACATATTTTTGGTAACCTGTGTAGATCCATCCTCCACAGCTCCAGACAGAATACTTTTTTCTGGACTTCAGCTACTTCACCTGGTGTTTACCGACACCAGTTGATGCTGCCAAACAATTCCATCGTTGTAGAGACACCTTTTCTGCTGTACATTGATTTACATATATCTGCTTTGATCTGTAATGCAAAAAACCACAAAATACCTTTTAGCCATAAAACAAGCCTTCCAGCGTTAGGTTTGGCTGCTTAATTGGCTTAATTTTGCAACTTAATTGGCTTAACTTTGCAGTAGAGCCCATAATAAAATGAAACCTATGTCTTGTACTGCAGCTCAACGCTCTGTGGAGCGCTGTCAGTGTTGGTTCATGTGCTGCCTTCAGAAATGCTTGGTATTTGGTACTTCTGGCTTTACTAAAAATGACCTTTTTATTATAAACAGAATTTCCTATTTAGTGCAGTCATCTTTGCTGATGACTTCCCTTGGTAAGTACAGAGTTTGCTGAGGAAGAGCAGACGGTATCGTTGGGATTGAAAGGCTGTCCAGCCCTGGCCTGTTGCTGCCTTCCCATTAAACACCACCTTGAGAAATAGTAAGGGGGTTCCTGAGAGCAGAAAAACGTTTGGCTTGTATTTTTTCTTCCTTTTTTATTTTTAGATCCCATTTCTGCTACTTACCTGCTCATCAGAGTGGTGTAATCATCATTCCTGTAATGTCTGCTGTCTTTTTTGTACCCCTTTTTAGTTATATGAGGTAGATTATTGCTTCCTCAAATGAGGCAGGACCCCCTGTTTCTTCCCTCTCTCTACCACCTGGATGTATTTTGAGCATTGTTTGATATTTGGGCCTAAACCAGTTTCAGTCTCCTTAAAAACCGGTCGCGTAGCAGCTGTAGATCGGTGTCGGTGTTTCCTGTACAGTACATCATGGAACTGACCTTCACCCAAGCTGCAAAAGGTGTTAACAAGGAGATTGTGGTGAACATCAACGACTCCTGCGAGCGATGCAATGGCAAGGGGCACGAGCCCGGCACCAAGGCGCAGCGCTGTCACTACTGCAACGGCACCGGCATGGTGAGTGCCTCCTCAGACACAGGTTCTGCTGTGATTTTCCTTCCTGGGGTGATTCAGTCCCTCCCACAGGGACAAATTCTCACTGCCGTCATCAGCTTATCTCGGGTGAAGCTGAGTTAATGTGGACTTGATGTTAATAGGCACTAGGAAGATTTTCTTTCTATTAGAGTAGTGCTCTGCCCAGCTCAAAGCACCGACCTTTGGGGCTAGATCAGCTGGTATCATACATCCAGCAAACCATTTTCATATAATATAACAGTCCTGAAATTATTTGGGCATTAAATGGGATATTTTGAATTGAGGGTTGGAGGATGATAGCCTAAGGATAATCATGAAATAAGAAGATCTGTGCTACTTACAGTAAGTAATGAGCCCCTCTGCTGGGAGGGGGGGCTGAGAGAGTTGGGGGGGTTCAGCCTGGAGAAGAGAAAGCTCCGGGGAGACCTTGGAGCCCCTTCCAGTCCCTAAAGAAGGGGGGCTTCAGGAAAGCTGGGGAGGGACTCTGGATGAGGGAGGGGAGCCCTAGGAGGAGGGGGAAGGGTTGGACCCTGAGGTCCCTTCCGGCCTGGGCAATTCTATGATTCTGAGAGCGTGCTGATGGCCTTCCTCACCAGAGAGGATAAAATGAGTGGTGGGACTGAAGAAGACTTGCTGCTTTGAGACCGCCCTGGGTGAGCAGCCTGTAATTTCCCTGCAGTTTGTGGAGGCTGCCCAGCCTTCCTTAGTCTGGTGCCCTTCCCTAAAGAATTCCCTAGGGATTGAAGTTACGAGCCTGCTTGGGGCGTAGCGATCACCTCGGAGGTAGGATAAACGTGTCCTGACACCTCCTTCCTTTGGCCACAGCTCCTGGGCTCCTGAGGAGAGTGTCACTGGGCTGCTCTCGGTAGGGTTTGGTCAGAGGACACTGGGAGCTCTTCCTACCGTTTCCTCGTGTGCTTCAGTCCAGCAGGTGGCATTCACAGTTCAGCCCATCCCTTAGTCTCCATAACAATTTCCTGAACGCTGGCAGTAACTCACCCAAGTGGATCATCCTTGGATTCCTCAAAATACAGACATTTGCATTTCCTTGTGAAATAGCACCGTGAGGAGCTTTGTTCCTTCTGGCAAATTACAGCCTAGAGATGGAAAGTGTCACGTTTCCCTTCCCCTCACCACGAGACACTTGCTCATAGCGGTGATGGTTTCCAGTGGAAATCAGAGTGCGATGGCGATCCAACCTGCTCCAGCTTCTCACGAGCAGCAGCCTCTTTGGATTTCCAATTTTTGTGCTCCACCCCTTGCTAAAGGACGTGACTGTCCCTTCAGGCTGCGTGTGCCATTAGGGGGGGGCTCAGATATGCAGGGCCAGGGGTTGGCAGTGTTTTGTGGAAGTGAAAAGTACCGTCTCGATACTAAATATTTGTTGGATCTGTGTTTTCTTCCCCAGGAGACGATAAACACCGGCCCCTTCGTAATGCGCTCCACGTGCCGGCGATGCAGCGGTCGCGGCTCCATCATCACAACGCCCTGCGTGGTGTGTCGGGGCACGGGGCAGACCAAACAGAAGAAGACAGTGATGGTTCCCGTGCCAGCTGGTTAGTGCTGGGCTCGTGACCCCCTTTTCTTTTTAAATAACTATAGTTATTTGCTTCCACTCGGCCAGCAGCAAGGTGTTTGCCTCCAAAGCATGGCTGGTCCCTGCTGGGTACGAATGTGGGAGCATCGTAAGGATGCTGCAGAGACATGATCTTTGAGAACGAAGCAGGTTGATAAGGGCTAGTAAAGAGAGGAACTTTCTGTCCATGGATACAAATATCCCTTCCCGAACTGAGGTTTCAGGTCTTGCATAAATCATTCTAGGCAGGTTTTAAAGAGTGAAGGTCTCAAAAGGTTTCGTTGCCTTGGGCCTTTCATTTGTCCTTGGTGAAGCTTGGGGAGAAGGGTGGGAATCTTGAAAGCCTTAGCTTGGCTCTGTGAGCTCTTATCTGGACTTCTGTAAGGCCTTTGACATGTTTTGCTGCAGAGACGTGATCTTTGAGAAGGAAGCAGGTTGATAGGTGCTAGTAAAGAGACAAACAGCCCTTCCTGAACTGAGGTTTTGGGTCTTGCATGGATCCTTCTAGGCAGGTTTTGAAGACTGAAGGTCTCAAAAGGTTTCGTTGCCTTGGGTGCTGCAGAGACATGATCTTTGAGAACGAAGCAGGTTGATAAGGGCTAGTAAAGAGAGGAACTTTCTGTCCATGGATACAAATATCCCTTCCCGAACTGAGGTTTCAGGTCTTGCATAAATCATTCTAGGCAGGTTTTAAAGAGTGAAGGTCTCAAAAGGTTTCGTTGCCTTGGGCCTTTCATTTGTCCTTGGTGAAGCTTGGGGAGAAGGGTGGGAATCTTGAAAGCCTTAGCTTGGCTCTGTAAGCTCTTATCTGGACTTCTGTAAGGCCTTTGACATGGTCTCCTGCAACATCCTGCTCGCCAAATTGATTTGCTGGGTGCACTGTTCAGTGGATAAGGAACTGGCTGGCTGGTCGCATCCAGAGGGTAGTACTCAATGGCTCAAAGTCCAGATGGAGAGCACTCACAAGTGGTGTCCCTCAAGGGTCCGTGCTGGGACCGATCCTCTTTAACAGGTTTATCAATGATATAGACAGAGGGATTAAAGGCACCGTCAGCAAGTGTGCAGATGACACCAAGCTGTGTGGTGCTGTCGATCCACCAGAGGGATGGGATGTCATCCAAAGGGACCTGGACAGGCTGGAGAGGTGGGCCCAGGTGAACCTCATGAGGTTCAAGAGCAAGTGCAAGGTTCTGCATCTGGGCTGGAACAATCCTTGCCATCAGTACAGACTGAGGGGTGAGGTATTAGAGGAAAGGGACTTGTGGGTGCTGGTGGATGAGAAGCTGGACATGAGCAGGCAGTGGGCAGTTGCAGCCCAGAAGGCCAATTGCATCCTGGGCTGCATCAAAAGCTGCGTTGCCAGCAGGTCCAGAGAGGGGATTCTGCCACTTTGCTCTGCTCTGGTGAGACCTCACCTGGAGTATTGTGTGCAGGTCTGGAGCCCTCAATATAAGAAGGACATGGACCTGATGGAGAGGGTCCAGAGGAGGGCCACAAGGATGATCAGGGGGATGGAGCACCTCTGCTACGAGGACAGGCTGAGGGAGCTGGGGTTGTTCAGCCTGGAGAAGAGGAGGCTCCGGGGAGACCTAATAGCAGCCTTCCAGTACCTGAAGGGAGCCTACAGGAAGGCTGGGGAGAGCCTGTTTAGAAAGGCCTGCAGTGACAGGACGAGGGGCAATGGCTTCAAGCTGGAGGGGAACAGATTTAGACTGGAGATGAGGAGAGGGTTCTTCACTGTGAGGGTGGTGGAGCACTGGAACAGGTTGCCCAGGGAGGTGGTTGAGGCCCCTTCCCTGGAGATATTCAAGGAGAGGCTCGACGAGGCCCTGGGCAACCTGGTCTAGTTGGGGGTGTCCCTGCTGACTGCGGGGAGGGAGGATGAGATGACCTTTGGAGGTCCCTTCCGGCCTGGGCAATTCTATGATTCTGAGAGCGTGCTGATGGCCTTCCTCACCAGAGAGGATAAAATGAGTGGTGGGACTGAAGAAGACTTGCTGCTTTGAGACCGCCCTGGGTGAGCAGCCTGTAATTTCCCTGCAGTTTGTGGAGGCTGCCCAGCCTTCCTTAGTCTGGTGCCCTTCCCTAAAGAATTCCCTAGGGATTGAAGTTACGAGCCTGCTTGGGGCGTAGCGATCACCTCGGAGGTAGGATAAACGTGTCCTGACACCTCCTTCCTTTGGCCACAGCTCCTGGGCTCCTGAGGAGAGTGTCACTGGGCTGCTCTCGGTAGGTTCTGTGCCTCCTGCTGCTGTGGTGGCCGGTGTTTGGGGATGGTGGCAACATCCTGCTCGCCAAATTGATTTGCTGGGTGCACTGTTCAGTGGATAAGGAACTGGCTGGCTGGTCGCATCCAGAGGGTAGTACTCAATGGCTCAAAGTCCAGATGGAGAGCAGTGACAAGTGGTGTCCCTCAAGGGTCTGTGCTGGGACCGATCCTGTTTAACATGTTTATCAATGATATAGACAGAGGGATTAAAGGCACCGTCAGCAAGTTTGTAAATGACACCAAGCTGTGTGGTGTTGTCAATACACCAGAGGGATGGGATGTCATCCAGAAGGACCTGGACAGGCTGGAGAGGTGGGCCCAGGTGAACCTCATGAGGTTCAAGAGCAAGTACAAGGTTCTGTACCTGGGCTGGAATAATCCTTGCCATCAGTACAGACTAGGGATGAGGTATTAGAGGAAAGGGACTTGTGGGTGCTGGTGGATGAGAAGCTGGACATGAGCAGGCAGTGGGCAGTTGCAGCCCAGAAGGCCAATCCCATCCTGGGCTGCATCAAAAGCTGCATTGCCAGCAGGTCCAGAGAGGGGATTCTGCCACTTTGCTCTGCTCTGGTGAGACCTCACCTGGAGTATTGTGTGCAGGTCTGGAGCCCTCAATATAAGAAGGACATGGACCTGATGGAGAGGGTCCAGAGGAGGGCCACAAGGATGATCAGGGGGATGGAGCACCTCTGCTCCGAGGACAGGCTGAGGGAGCTGGGGTTGTTCAGCCTGGAGAAGAGGAGGCTCCGGGGAGACCTAATAGCAGCCTTCCAGTACCTGAAGGGAGCCTACAGGAAGGCTGGGGAGAGCCTGTTTAGAAAGGCCTGCAGTGACAGGACGAGGGGCAATGGCTTCAAGCTGGAGGGGAACAGATTTAGACTGGAGATGAGGAGAGGGTTCTTCACTGTGAGGGTGGTGGAGCACTGGAACAGGTTGCCCAGGGAGGTGGTTGAGGCCCCATCCCTGGAGATATTCAAGGAGAGGCTCGACGAGGCCCTGGGCAACCTGGTCTAGTTGGGGGTGTCCCTGCTGACTGCGGGGAGGGAGGATGAGATGACCTTTGGAGGTCCCTTCCGGCCTGGGCAATTCTATGATTCTGAGAGCGTGCTGATGGCCTTCCTCACCAGAGAGGATAAAATGAGTGGTGGGACTGAAGAAGACTTGCTGCTTTGAGACCGCCCTGGGTGAGCAGCCTGTAATTTCCCTGCAGTTTGTGGAGGCTGCCCAGCCTTCCTTAGTCTGGTGCCCTTCCCTAAAGAATTCCCTAGGGATTGAAGTTACGAGCCTGCTTGGGGCGTAGCGATCACCTCGGGGGTAGGATAAACGTGTCCTGACACCTCCTTCCTTTGGCCACAGCTCCTGGGCTCCTGAGGAGAGTGTCACTGGGCTGCTCTCGGTAGGGTCTGTGCCTCCTGCTGTGGTGGCCGGTGTTTGGGGATGGTGGGAGCCGTAGGATTCAAATAACACATGGATTGTAACACAAGGTAACATTCCCTCTGTTTTTTCCCTGATGGCAGGCGTTGAGGATGGACAGACAGTTCGGATGCCCGTGGGGAAGAAAGAAATTTTCATTACCTTCAGGGTACGTATCGTTAAATCGTTGGCTGTTTTCGCTAATTAAGTTGGTTCCTTGTTCCCTTCCCGAGGGAGTGAATGGGGGGGACGGGGGAGGAAGAGCGGGTGATCCTTGGGAACAGCTGAGGTAACCTGACCCCCCTGAACTTTGGGAGGTAGCAGGAGATCTGCATTGTCACCAGCGGCCTAGTGTGACATCTGCTCATGAAGAATCACGCTGCCCGTTCCAGGACGAGGCCTTTTACGGCGGCGCACGTTGAAATGCAGAGCAGGTTCTTGGTGCCTCAGGTCTTTCAGCTGGAAAGAAGGAGCCATCTTGAGGGTGGAAGTGCTGAGGGGGGCTTGAGAATGCCCGACAGCGCCATGGACGAGTGTCCTTTTGCAGATAGATGTTAAGTGCTGCTTTTCACACATTTTGTAGCCCTTCTCCTGCAATATCCTGTCACATGTATCTCTGTCAAGGAGAAAATGTTTTTCAGCGCCTTTTTTTTTTGCGGTGCAGGAGGATTTAATTCTCTTCCAGCTTGTGGGGCTCGTCTCTCCGTCGAGGAGAAAATGTTTTTCAGCACCTTTTTTTTTGAGGTGCAGAAGGATTTAATTCTCTTCCAGCTTGTGGGGCTGCTGGAAAGGTGCTTGTCTCCCTCTCCTCTTGTTTCCCTGTTGAGGATATTGGGCAAAGCAGCATCTTCTCTGTCTCTGCAGAATCCTACCCATAACAGTGGGATTAGGGGAGGGAGTTGCTGGGACAGGACCCAGGCATCCTCCTAAGCCTCTGGCTAATGACTGTTGTGTCAAGATCTGTGTTTTTCTGCAAGGCTTGGGCATTAACTCACGTTTTTGTGCAGTTTTTGGACACTAGAGGGACTGACTACAGCATTCTGGCATGTTTTCTGCTGAGAACCTTCAAAGCAGTTCACCATGAGGACTTTGTGGTAGCGTGTGCTGACTTGTCTTTGGAACTGCCTGCCTTTTAGGTTCAGAAGAGTTCTGTGTTCAGGAGAAACGGAGCAGATATCCATTCAGACCTGCTTATTTCGATAGCCCAGGCCGTTCTGGGAGGCACAGCCCGATGTCAAGGCTTGTACGAGACAATCAATATCACGGTAAGTACCATTATGGGGAAGGATTTAGGAATAAATCCATGTGGGACAGCAGAGACTCCTCCTTTGCTGCAGAGGTGCTGCAGATCTCCAAAGTTTGCATTTCAGGCTTCTTCAGGATTGAGTGCCAGGTAGTTTGTGACCTGCTTGGTCCCACCTCCTTTCCTGTGACTGTAGGGACAGGGAGCAGAAGGGCTGGGTGGGTTTGAATTGCTGGGCAAATCCCATCCAAGGTCTACAGACTGTGTGAGGTTCCTCACTTCTTCCTTCAAAAGCTTTTCCATTATTCCTGACTCAAATTCTGAACGTCTCCAGATGCACCAACGTAGCAGATCTCTCCCATCCTGCTTTGAAACTTGTTGGAGAAGTAGTTAATTTTTATAGACATGTAATTAGCATATAAATGGTTAAACCAGAGTAATAAATGTGACACCTCTGTGTTTGTAGATACCCCCTGGGATTCAGCCAGACCAGAGAATCCGAATGAGTGGGAAAGGCATTCCCAAGGTTAACAGCTATGGCTATGGAGACCACTACATTCACATAAAGATAAAAGTTCCGCAGTAAGTAGAGCTCATCCGAGTGTCTGTGTAACCTTGGACTTCTGGCAGAAAACATTGAGAGAGATTTTTTTGGTAGAATTCCTTACTGCTTTATCAAGATCAAGAATTTCTCACTCTGCTTTTAATTCTCGTGTGAGGTAGACAGGTTTTTTTTTTTTTTAATAATACCACTTGGCAACCCAGCTCTAAAAATCCCAAACCCTGGAAATACTCAAGTAGTTCTTCACCTGCGTGTCAGCCAGGCTGCCTGCGCTCCTGTCTGGGTCCCAATTTCATAAATTCGGCATTCTGGCTTGTGATGCCTCTGTGCTCTCACACCTGCGGCTCAGAGGAGCTGAACTCCTTGGCAGCTGCTTTCCAGGCTGCTTGGCCACCCCCTGCTCCTGTGGAAAGGAAACTTTTTCGGCAAGGGAGTTCTTTTCCTGAGATGTCCCTCTGTTACAGCTCCACGTGGTCCTTCTCAGCACTTTAAAATATTTTAGTTTTTCACCACAATTCGGTGACACGCAGCGTGTCGTATCTCTGCTCTTCCACTGGGGCTTATTCTTTGTAGATTGCTCATTTTCAGAGCACCGTAGGGATTCTGAGACTATGCCAGGTGTATTCATCCTGTCCTTCCAGTAGATTCCTCTTGTAGATACGTCTGTCCTTAAATCTGGCTGTAGACACATCTGTCCCCAAAACCAGCCCTAACCAGTGCCTGTGTCTTGGGCCCGCAGGAGGCTGACGGATCGCCAGAGAGCCTTAATGATGAGCTACGCGGAGGACGAGGCAGACGTGGAGGGCACGGTGAACGGGGTCACAAACACGGCCTCAGGTGAGTGGTGGGAGTCGGGGCTCCTTCCTCACGGAGCTGACGTGGAAGCCCAGAGCTTCCTGAGGGCTCCTGGGGAGGGCCTTGAGCCAGGGTCACCTTGAGGCAACGCGTCAGCACAACCTACTGAGCCTGTTATTTCTGAAATAGTTTTGGTGGGATGTTAAGAGGCTGTAGATTTTCTCGAATCCTTACTGGGCGTGAGTGGAGAGCAGGTACTGAGGTTCTCCAGGGTCCCGACAAGTTGTGGTGAGTCTTGTTGTGATGATGAACAAGGGCTGAGCCTCATGAGGTCATAGGGATGTGCTGAGGGCTGGAGGCCCTCTGCTGGGAGGACAGGCTGGGAGAGTTGGGGGGGTTCAGCCTGGAGAAGAGAAGGCTCCAGGGAGACCTTGGAGCCCCTTCCAGTCCCTCAAGGGGCTCCAGAAAAGCTGGGGAGGGACTCTGGATGAGGGAGGGGAGCCCCAGGAGGAGGGGGAAGGGTTTGACCCTGCAAGAGGGGAGATGGAGCTGAGCTGTGGGGAAGAACTTGTTTGGTGTGAGGGTGGTGAGAGCCTGGCCCAGGTTGGCCCGAGAAGCTGTGGCTGCCCCATCCCTGGAGGGGTTCAAGGGCAGGCTTGATGAGGTTCTGAGCAATCTGATCTAGGTAAAGATGTCCCTGCTTGCTGCAGGGGGTTGGACTAGATGACCTTTAAAGGTCCCTTCCAACCCAACGCATTCTATGATTCTATGAACGCCTTCTGCTCCCAGCTTCTGCCCCTGTGCCAGGAGTGACTTGTTTTAGGAGCAGGGGGAGAAGAAGAAGATGTGCTTCAGGCTGGCTTTCTGCCTCAGCTAATCTGAGTGTGGTGGGGACGCTTCTCCTTGGAAGCTGCCGGGGAGCGCTGCTGTCGAGGCTGCTCTGAGCCATTCTCTGCACGTGGGGGAGCCTGGCACAGAAACGTTCTCAGTCTCAAGTGGTGGCTCCAGTCAGGAGATGTCCAGCAGGGTGGGGGGAGCAGAGTCAGCTGGGAGCTTTGTAGAGCTGCTCTTCAGCTCAGGATTAGAAATTTTGATTCAGGAGTTACATGTTTTAAGTTTCAGGGTGAGGTGTTGGCATCGTTAGCGCCTAAAGGCAAAACAGTAAGGCGAGAGCTTTTCTTTTGGTACTGGAAAACAATTTTTTTTCTTTGCTCTTATTGGAACAATGAACCTCTTGAGGCCGGTTGGATTTCTTTAATGCTCAAAACCAAAAAAGGGCTTTTCTGAGCGCGTACAGCCAGGCAGAGGGGAGAGTCTTTCAAAGCTGCTAAATGATCCCAGGGACTTGGGTCCTCTCTACTGCATGTGCCACATCCTGAGGAGTAGAGGCTGAAGTTCAGGATATTGGGAGGCAGAACCTGCTAAATACTTACCAATGTTATGTTTTATCGTGCTTTCCTAACAGAGAAGTGATGTCTTTTCTGCCGAGGGGAAGCGATAAGGGTCAGTGATAAGGGTCAGCCTCGAGGGGGGAAGGGAGAGATCTCTGAGCACCACAAGTTTCATTCCAGCTTTTTAAAGGCATTTATCTGCCAAAGTTATTAAAAAAAAAATAAATGCTCTCCAAACTTGTGTTTTGAGAAGCAAACCTGCCAGTTTTTTACCCCAATTAAGCAGTGAGGTGGGTTAAACCCCCAGTTTGCTGTTCAGAGGGAGGCTGTTGCTGGAAGCCTGTCCTTGCCCTGGGCAGCAGAAGTGCCCCGAGCGCTGGAGGCGTGTTCAGCCGCAGCATTTCAAAGGGTTGCATCAGTCTGAGCTCAGGACTCAGCTGGGGGAGGACGGGGAGGACTGGACTCTGTGTTCTCTGTGCACAGACAGAGCCTGAGGAGCATCTGGGGGTCTTGTTATTGATGGTTTTACTGTAGAAGAAGCAGATTAGCAAAAGGGGATCTCCTTTGGTCTCGCTGTAGCCACTTCTGGAGGGACAAACAACTTCTCAGGACCTGTTTGTACAGGAAAATTATGCTTGTTGCTGTCAGTAAGATTCCTTGTCCAGACTCCTGGAATACTTGTAGCCTTTTTCATTCTAGGCTGAGTTCATTTTCTCCTTGATACTGTTTTGAGCGTTGCTTGAAATGACAAGCAGCAGGCTCCCGGCTCGGTTTTGCACTGCTTTGCTCTAAAGGGTCACCACACAACCATGAGACAGGAGGAGGGGTTGTTCCAGGGATAACCAAAATGTCTTTTTTTTCCCCCATGAAGCCTTCGGCAGGCTTCGGTCAAGCCAACAACTTGCTTTTAGTGGCAGACTCTCCATTCCAAGTGCTTGTTTCCAAAGCCCTGGGGGGTCCCTGGCTGGGTTGTGCAGCAGGAGAATTCCCTCAGCAGTTGGAGGGCAGGGGAGAGGGGAAGGGGACGTTGTTACCTGGGCTCACAGTCTTCTCTTCCACTTCTGGGGTCCGGGCTCTCCGCTGCTTTCACTGCCAGTGGCCCAGTACCGCTGCCAGGTGCAGCCCCGTAGAGGAGGATGCTGGTAAAACCAGCTGATTTCACCATTCCCCATCTAAAATAACCCTCTCACTTCATCGGGGGGGTGCTGGCTACCCGCAGGAGATGTGTCTGACTGCAGCCCTTTGCTGTTTGTGTCCAGGTGGCAGGGCCAGGGCTGGCGCTGCCGCAGGCGGGGATAGGCCTGAGGCTGAGGAGAACAAGGAGGGATTCCTTTCCAAACTTAAGAAAATGTTTAGCTCCTGACACCCCGTGCGAGGTAGGAGGCCTCTTATGTTTTATTGTCGTCTTTTCCCCCCCACCACACTAAGCAGAATTTGCACCTCTTGGGAGGTAGAAGAGAAGAAGGGTTCTTGCACCTCTTCTCGCTTAGCCTCAGGCCTTCCTGCCACGGGTTATGCAAAGCCCTAACTGTCCCCTGTGGCCTGGAGCAAAAAGCCAGAGATCAAATGGCATTGTTGCTGCAGCAAAGAAAAAAAAAAAGCAAACAGCAAAAAAAAATGCTGGATGCATCTTCAGGGAGGCTGCTGGCCTCCCCCTGCAGCTCTGCCTCCTCGCCTGCTTGATGGCTGTAGCCGAGTCAAAGCACCCAGGGCGTTCCTGGTGGTTGGGAAAGCTGAAACGGGGCAGTTCTGCCCCCAGTGCAAAGCCTGGGCTTACTGGGAGGTGTGGGTGGGAATCACCTGATGGAAGGGGGCTTGCAGCAGCGGGAAGGAGTCGGTAAAGTCCAGCAAAGCCCCTGGAATAGAGTGTTGTAACTCGGGGTGCCGTTGGGCTGGCGTTGGCCTGCGGTGAGGGCTTGGCATCATCGACGGGAGCTGCTGGTCCCTTGGATTCCAGGGGCTGAGCCTCTTGTCACTGCAGGTTTCACACTCGTCTGGTCTGAAAAAGCATGATGGTGGGGAGGTGCTGGGTGCCTCAGGTGAGGAAAGGTTGAACTTTTCCTTTCCTTGGGCTGCAGGGAAGCGTTCTACCGGGAACTAGGAGCCGGCAGCGGATGGTCTTTGCGGTCAGGAGTGGATCTTTCTGGCAGCGGGCTCTGGAGGCCGTCAGGCGGCAGCGCAGGGGGACTCCCAGCTGGAGAGGCTACAAACCACCCAAGCACCAACAGTCGTCAGGATACACACACCCACCCTCCGTCCTGGGAAACGGTAATGAAGGAAAACTCCAGCTTTGCAGAAACATTGGTTGCTCCCCAGTCCTTGCAGCTGCTGGAAGCTTATTTGGCAAAAATTAAAACTTGAAGCGTTATTTAAAAGCCAAACCAGTGGAAATGTGAAAAAATAAAAATTGTCCTTCCAGCACGGAGAGGAGCAGTTTGCTGTAGGGCAGCTGAGGTGCCCTCTGAATGTATCACTGCTTCTCTTCCCCCAGGAGACGCGGTGGGTCAGGGGGGTTTAACCCCTGGGTTGTCCCGCAGACGTCTCCCAGGGGGAAGTCTCCCTCTGGCTGGGAGTCCAGAGCCCTGGGGTTCCTTAGTCCTGCTGATTTCCTGCACAGAGAGCAGTGGTGGAATCTGCACTTTGCCTCAGTTTTTTTCCCCTCCACCCCCCCCCC